TTGAAAAAACACTTTACCTTTTTTATTCTTTTTATATATATATTTTATCTTCATTTATTTTATTTTATTTTATTTTATTCAATTTCATTTTATTTTTTTGTTTCATCCAATTATTTTATGTTTATTATTATTGGTTTCATTTATTTCCTTGGTTTACTCTTTAGTTTTGTTACTTTCTTTTATTATTACTATTTTCTTTTAACATCTTATTTTTTAAGAGTATTTCCGTAAACTCATTAAGGGTAAGTAATCGGGATCAAATTTTACCTTTTTATTTAAAATTACAATTTTCTTAATTTACGACAACTGAAAATTATGTGGTACCGAAAGGGCGGTTCAAGGGTGCTAATCCTTCATTGACCGTAACCGACTCCCGAACTCGACACGTTTTTGGTACAACACAAATTAGGTAAAATGGTGTCCGACCCACCTAAATTCGTTTTAAAGTGGTCGGTGGCGACTCCAATCTATATTTTCCTAAGTCGAAACCCAATTCCGGGATCCAACCAAAAGACGGTTGCAACAGGTTGCTACTTCAAGTTTAGTTTGTTATGGTCGATTTTGAGAATGGATTATGAATTTGGGGTTGGGTATGTAATTGAAGTCTTTTAGAATTTGAGGATTAGAACATAATTGAAGTATTTTGGAATTTGGGGTTTAGAATGTAATTGATGAATGCGTTACAAGTTTTAAAAGTTTGGGGGCCTAAATACGAGTGTCTGAAAAGTTCAATGACCATTTATATAATTACCCTAACGGCAGTGAAACGAACGTTACGTCGGGACCATAATGCAAATGAACTAAATGTTTGGTGACTATATTACAAGTTTTAAACGTTAGGAGACCTAAATGCAAGCATCTGAAAAGTTTAGTGACCATTTATAAACTTTACCCTAAGATTAATCATGTTAAAATGAAGGGTAAATTATATAAATGGTCCCTTGATTATATGATATTGTTTTGTTAAGTCTCCGACTGTTAAAAGTTACAAAATAGTCTCAAAATATGGGGAGTTACTTTATTGAGTCCCTTAACTATTAAAAATTACAAAATGATCTCTTAATTATTCATTATGTTTCAAACTTATCCTTTTTCGTTAAAAAATTAACGATAGTCTGAGTTGGACGTTAACTTGTTGATTAAGATATGATAAAATTTGATCTCATAATCTCAAACGACTATCTTATTTCAGTCAACGTGTTAACATCAAACTCAGACAACCGTTAATTTTTTAACGCAAAAAGATGAGTGTGGAACACAATAAATAGTAAGATGACCATTTTGTAACTTTAATTAATCGAGAGACTCAACAAAGTAACTCCCTATAATTAAGGGACTATTTTGTGTTTTTTAATAGTTTGAGGACTAAAAAGGGTATTATCTTATAGTGAGAGGAACCATTGTGTAGTTTACCCTAAAATGAAATGAAATGGGTAATTTTAAGGAAATGAGATGATTAATTAGCAATAAAGCTAACTGTTAACGAGCGAGTAGTGGATAAAAGAAGAAAACATAATCCAGTCGACGTAGTACTCGTCTTCACCATCCAAAATCATTTTCATCTTCCTCCACCACTTGATATTCATATAATTGTTTCCCTCCTCCTTTTCCCTTCTCCCCCCAATGGACCAGCCATGTCTATGAATATTCCTTCTCCTCCCTCTCCCTCTCCCTCTCCCTCTTCTTCTTCTTCTTCCTCCTTTCCCTCCACTCTCCACTGGCTTTCTCCCCTTCCTCTGTCGCCTTCTTCTCCTCCTTCAACCACATCCACAACAACTTCCTCTAAGCCCACGCGTTCATTCTGCTTGCAAGCTACAGCCCACCAGCCAACTCAACCCGCCGCTACTGATTTATCTCTTCCCTCTAATAAAAACAGTAACGATGATCAAACCCTTCTCTCTCTCCTTCGCCAAAGGAAAACCGAACTAGCTTGGAGTCATTATTCCCAATCCTCTCACCTCCCGACCCCCACTTGCTTAAGTCGCTTAGTTGCTCAACTCTCTTACCAATCCACTCCTCAATCTCTATCACGCGCTCGTTCAATCATCACGCGCCTCCGCAATGAACGCCAGCTTCACCGACTCGACGCCAACTCCCTCGGCCTCCTGGCATCGACTTCTGCGAAATCCGGGCATACCCTTTACGCTTCTTCCCTCATCAAGTCTATGCTTCGCTCTGGTTACCTCCCCCACGTCAAAGCATGGAGCGCTGTCGTTTCGCGACTTTCCACTGAGTCACCCTCTGAGTCGATAAGCCTTTTTGATTCCGTGACTCGCCGCGTTAGACGTTTCGCGGATCCTTCAATTGTTGCTGATTCCAAACCTGACACGGCTGCATATAATGCTGTGCTTAACGCTTGTGCTAATTTGGGTGACAAAAGTAAGTTTCTGAAACTGTTCGATGAAATGCATGAATGGGGTGTTGAAGCTGATGTTTTGACTTATAATGTTATGATAAAGTTGTGTGCTAGAGCTGATAGGAAAGATTTGCTTGTGCTCGTATTGGAGAGGATTATTGAGAAGAGAATACGTTTTTGTATGACTACTCTGCATTCCCTCGTTGCTGCTTATGTTGGATTTGATGATCTTGAAACTGCTGAGAAAATTGTTCAAGCTATGAGGGAGGGAAGGAATGATCTTTGTAAGATTCTCCGAGATGCATTTTTGGAAGACCTAAAACGAGCTAAGGAAGATGATGATGATGACAACTACGACTATGATGTGGAGGATGACGATGAAGAGGAAGATACGAAAGATACAAAAGATTCAAGTCAAAACAAGATAGATGATATAGTGTTTGAGAAGTTGCTTCCTAATTCGATTGACCCGTGCAGTGAACCACCATTATTGCCGAAAGTATATGCACCGAATTCTAGGATTTATACGACACTAATGAAAGGTTATATGAAGGCAGGTAGAGTTACAGACACGGTGAAGACTTTAGAAGCAATGAGGCGTCAAGATGATAAAGCTAGTCATCCTGATAATGTTACATACACAACAGTTGTTTCCGCCTTTGTGAATGCCGGATTGATGGATAGAGCACGAGAAGTTCTAGCCGAAATGACCAGAATTCGTGTGCCAGCAAATCGGATTACTTACAATATTCTTCTCAAGGGTTATTGCCAGCAGTTGCAAATAGACAAGGCAAAGGAATTGCTAAGGGAGATGGCTGATGATGCAAGGATTAAGCCCGATGTGGTTTCATATAATATATTAATTGATGGTTGCATATTGATTGACGACAGTGCTGGCGCTCTTGCGTTTTTCAATGAGATGCGGGAGCAAGGAATCACTCCTACGAAGATCAGTTACACGACATTGATGAAAGCTTTCGCTTTATCAGGTCAACCGAAGTTAGCTAACAAGGTTTTTGACGAGATGCTTAGAGATCCACGGGTGAAAGTTGATTTGGTTGCATGGAATATGTTGGTGGAGGGATATTGTAGACTGGGACTGGTCGAAGAAGCTAAGAAAGTAATCCAAAGAATGAAGGAAAATGGATTTTACCCTAATGTTTCTACTTATGGTAGTCTAGCAAATGGGATTGCATTGGCTAGAAAACCAGGAGAAGCACTCTTGCTCTGGAAAGAGATAAAGGATAGGTGCGAGATGAAAAAGGAAGGCGAGAACCAACACTCCGATTCTCCTGCTCTTCCGCCGTCATTGAAACCAGATGAAGGTCTATTAGATGCTCTAGCTGATATATGTGTGAGGGCTGCTTTCTTCAAGAAGGCATTGGAAATTGTGGCTTGCATGGAAGAGAATGGCATACCACCAAACAAGACCAAATACAAGAAAATCTATGTGGAGATGCATTCGAGGATGTTTACTAGCAAGCATGCTTCACAAGCAAGGCAGGATCGGAGGGTCGAAAAGAAGAGAGCGGCCGAGGCATTCAAGTTCTGGTTGGGTTTGCCGAATTCTTATTATGGAAGCGAGTGGGATTATGGTTCTAATGGCAGATGATCATCATATTTATGCCTCTCTGGTTCAGAGCCAGTAAAAAAACGTCAACAATGTATACTTTTACTAATTTGTAACAAGGTTAGTGTTATGTAATGTAATTGTACTGTATATTACAAATGCAAAATATTCAGTCAAATTGTGCGTTTCATGTAATGAATTGAATGCCTTCTTCGCTGTGTGTGTTAATGCAGAAGAGATGTTGAATATAGAGACAAAAAGATTAGAAATCCCAAAATGCAGTATTACAGGAATAGAGAAGGGCCTCGGATGGGGGTGCAGGATTATTAATGAACTTAGTTTAATACAAATACTGTAAAAATGGAAGAGACTGAGAACATCATACCCATTGCCATTGCTAATATTATATTAATGAAGTTGTTGGTTGTTCGCCGTAGGTGGGTGGAGGATCGGCTCAGTGAAATAAATTGGTTATGAGTTGAAGTAAACTATAGGATGACGGGAGTAAACTGATGGCATAATGTTAAAAAAAAAATTTAAGGTTCGATTAAATAATTAGGTTGGCTCTTATTATATTTTTGGTATATTTCTGTTCTATAACGTTTCATTTTGAAGAAAAATAATTTATCTTTGGATGAAAATCATTAGTCATTTAACGGTAATCATTTTAATGTAGGGTTTTTTTACCTTAAAATGAGATGTTGGTGGTCACAATATAAAAAAAAAAAGAATATAGGTCAAAATAATTATTCAATCTAATATTTAGAGTTATTTTGTTTTAAAATAAAATGATTGAAGATTAAAATACTTTAAAAAAGAATAAGAGTTAAAATAAATATTTAGTCAAATCTTAACAGCATATTTTTACATTATACTTAAAGATAAATGTAAAGAATTAAATTTTTTAGATTTAGATTAAAATAATTAAATTAACAAAAATAAATTAATAACATTTTATTAATATTTTACTATTAAGAAAATAATAAAAAGGGATTACTTTATAATGTTTTTTTTAAATAAGATGATATTTTTATATTTTTTTCATGGTTAATAAAAAGGCGTCCGAATCCGCTGTTATTTTCATATTTTATCCATGTATTTTTTTTTTCTTCTCCTTTAAACAAAAGCGCTCCGATCTACGCCACGTCTCTTCCAGATGGTCGTACTTTGAAACTAAAACAGCAGTTCCGGTACACACACAAAACACGACTTCCATTTATATTCCTTACTACTCCTGAAACTAGGGCACCCCTCGTTTCTATACAGCTCCCGATTCAAGTAAACCACGGTACGCAGCTTTGTCTTTTGTTAATTTTACGTGTTTGCAAAATTAGGTATTCATCAGTACTTTATCTTTAGGGTTCACCAAAATTAGGATTTTGTAGTTTTTAGTGAAATAGAGTTTTGATTGTTGCTTTCTTATTTTGTGTTTAGGGTGCAGTTCAATGTCGAACAAAGTTCCTGAAGAAATTGACTTGAACTGTGATGCTGTTCCGGTTCACCAAGAAAACGAGAGAAGTGTTGTTAATGTTGGACAGCCTGCCTCTGGGTCGGCCACCTCCTGTTTAACCGAAACTGTGTTGGCTGCTGGGGTTGATGAGTTAGGGAAAGAAAGCAAGATTGAGAGTGTGAAGAGTCAAGGGATTGATTTGGAAGCTGATATTGGATCTTTAGGTGAAGCTATCGATGATAAAGTTAGTGCCGGGTTGAGTTCCGGTGGGGTTTCTTTGATGGGGGTTGATGGAGGAACTGGAGATGGAGATGGAGATGGAGATGGAAAGAGTGGTTCCATGGAAGACAAGAAACCCGTGGAGGACTCGTTGATAGAGAGGACTAGTGTCCGGTCGAGCTCACTTGCTGATAATACTGTTCATTCTGGTGATGGGGAGCCTCTTTCTTCAGCTGTTCAAAGTTCTTTACCTGATGAGAACCAGAAATTGAGTTCAAAGGAAAAGGAAGTATCTTCTGGTGGATTAGAAAGTTGTGATATGGAAATTTGCGCACCCGATAGTACCAAAAAGAATCAAACTACTGTGACCCAAGGTGAAAGGGATTCGCAGAATGCAGAAAACTCGAATCAAACTACAAGCAACTATGAGGATGGGTCATCTGATGTTGATACAAAACCTGAAGATGCAGAATTTTGTGTCTCTGATTTAGTGTGGGGTAAAGTAAGGAGTCATCCATGGTGGCCGGGGCAGATATTTGATAGTTCAGCTGCTACAGCAAAGGCAAAGAAGTATTTCAAAAAGGAAAGTTATTTGATTGCATATTATGGTGATCAGACATTTGCTTGGAATGAGGCATCTCAGATCAAACCTTTTAGGTCTCATTTCTCACATATGGCTAAGAAGAACAATATGGAAGAGTTTCACCATGCTGTGGGTTGTGCTCTGGATGAGGTTTCCAGACGGGTAGAGTTTAGTCTGGCCTGTTCTTGCATTTCCGAGGAAGCATATTCCCAGATTAAAACCGAGATAATTGTTAATGCTGGGATCCGGGAAGAATTTAGCAGACGAGATGGTGGGGATAGGTTTTCAAGTGCTTCTTCCTTTGACTCTTTGGAACTTGTTAAAACTATTAAAAAATTGGCTCAATCACCTTCTTGTACCGATATTGATAGAGTGCAATTCACAATATCAAAGGCGCAATTGTTAGCATTCCATCGTTGGAAGGGTTACTCTCAGCTACCGGAGTTTCAAAATCTTTGCGGATCATTGGAGACTGATGCTGAAATCCCTCTGTCTGAGGAAATGAAGAAATATAGCAAACTGATAAAAAATGAAGTTCCTAGTGTCAAAGTTGACAAAAGGGTGTACTCCGAAGAAGAGGAGCTAGACAGCCAAGACGGCTCATCTTCTAAACAAAAGAAAAACCTTACAGTTTCCGGGGAAAAGGAGAAAAGCTTGTCAGAGTTTATAGCTGAAAGGCGCTTGAGTTTGCAAAATGTTAAAAGGAAATTGAATAAAAATGGTGATGACATGCTAATATCTTCATCACCTGCTAAAAAGCTAAAGGCTGTTGACCCTGTGTGTAATGACTTGGCAATGAAACAGAATAAGAGTAATGTGTCAACAGCATCTGTAGATAAGCCTCTACAGTCTAAGCAAACTTTTGGAGTTGGAGCTAGCATTCTTAGGGTTGCAAGCCAACTGAATGGTTCAATATTTTCGACGCCATTACTAAAGCATTCTGATGGGAAATCTCAGAAGGCGACAGTTGGTAATAAAAGTAAAGGAAAATCTTCTTCTGGTAAATCACGAGGGAAGAAGGTTTCTCAAACAGATATCTCCTCCTCTGATAACATGCTTTCACAGCTTCACTTGGCTGCCACAGATCCCTTGAAAGGGTACAATTTCTTGGCCTCTATAATTTTTTTCTTTACTGAGTTGAGGAATTCAATTGCTATGGATATTAACAACTCTGAAATGTCTGAACAATCTTTGGAACAAGGAACTGATGCCATAGTGGGGGAGAAATCAACCAAGTTCAAGCTTACCGGGATGTCTGAGTTCACCTCAATCAAAGACTCTTCTTGTTCTGAAAGGATAATCCAATGCCTTCCTGAAGAGCAGTTAACAGTTGACAAGAACAACCAAACCATGGAGAAGGGTTTTTCGGTTGTTGAATCACACACAGCTGCTAAAGCATGTGCCAATGTGGATTCTGAACAGATGCATGCAACTGTAGATGAAAATCTTGGAATGGAAACAGAGGATCAATCTCCAACTTCTTTGATCCTAAAATTTTCAGACATAGATTCAGTTCCTGCAGTAGAAGAGCTGAATAAGATATTTAGCCGTTACGGTCCTTTGGTAACGAGAGGGACTGAAGTGTTCAGAAAGAGCATCCAGGCCAAGGTGGTTTTTAAAAGGCGAACAGATGCGGAAACAGCTTTCAGCAGTTCTGGAAAATACAGCATTTTCGGACCCTCACTCATTAGTTACCGCCTTAAGCGACTGGCTTCCACACCAAGTAAAGCTTCCCAAGGTGGTGGTAAGAAGAGCAGAGTGGATGAAACAAGTGGAGATTAAAATGCAACTTCATGGCTTGGATTCTAGTCAAGTTGATGTCGAGAGAGAGGTTAGCTTAAGCATTCACAGGTAAAGGATTGAACTTGTAAGTGCTATTGTTTTATGAGGTTATATTGTAACTTCATTTATGGTGGTAGGTTATATCAGTTGAAAATGATGGGATCAAACAGTTGGGCATAGCAATCAAATTGCTAGTGGAAGTGGGTTAATTTATGATTGGCCACTTTGTTATTTTTATTTGCACTAGGTAAGGTTTGAGATTCAAATTTCGATTTTTATGCATTCTTCTCTTATATACCTATCTATCTCTGTGTGGGAAGCATGGTTTCACTTTAATCTAAATTGTTGTTTTACGCATTTTAATATTTTCGCAATCCCAAATTGTATTTCATGCGTATATATTTTATAACTTTCATTTTTCATTTTACAATTCGGTTATTGCAAAACGATGAGCCTCATGGACGTTTCTTCCGAAGATGATTGCCTCATCCATTCGCCTTTCTGCGTTTCTATAAACCCCTTGATCCTCAGGTTTCTTATTAGTTTATGATTCTGTAAACATCCCATCGAAAAAAAAGTACATTTTTCTTTGCATCTTTTCTAATTATGTTTCACAATCGTGGTGACACGATCTCTGTCCTCTGGAAATCATTGGTGTTGAGTTTATTAGTGATGAGTAAAATTTGATTTGATTAAAAAATCGTCTTAATTTGATTCGATTCTTAATTTTATAAATTGATTGGATTAGAAAAAAGTTCAAATAAAATTTGAGTTATAACTCAAAATCTTTAGTAATTATTGAATATAATTCTAAACTCTGAATATATGTTTACATTCAAAAAATATAAAAAATATGATTATGAAAATTTATTTAAATTAAAATAATTTGTACATAATATTATAAATATTTATAATTGAACATAAACAAAAATTAGACAGCTACTCAAATTTCTTAAAATCCAATCGATTCGAAAAAATTCAAATAAGATTTAAATTATAAAATAAAACTCATTAATTCAAAATTTTGACTCCAACTGAATACTCATCTATAAAGATCATTTTCATGTTACGTTGATTTCTATAATGTTTCTTCTATACAAATTGTTTTGAAAAAACTAAATACATTACTTATACAACCTCAAAAGTTATACAATTAATAATAATTAATTTCAGAATCATTGGATACCTTTCTAGATTCTTAGGAATCATTGGACATTGACAATCTTCCTTAATAATACATCTCAGGCTCCTAGTTTCTAATCAACGAGACCACGAAAGAGAGTAAGTAATGAAAGCTTGGGACTTGTCCACGGTTGGTCATACTGAACTACCCATTTGGCCAAATAAGCCCAATCCTAACTAATTTCCGAACTTAGCTAGACTGGACAACAAGCAAAAAAAAGTTCTGGTACAATCTTAAGCAGTTCTATATATATAATGAATCTAAATCAAAGCTAGGAGAAGAAAGAACAGTTTGGAACTGCAATAAAGCAACAGATCCTTTTATGAAATGCAGACACCGAAGTTCAATACAAAGATAGCCATAAGATAACAAAAAGGAGCCGTACTGAAAAGCTACCATGCAATATATGCTCTCAGTTTTAAGTAGAACTACTAAAAGACCAAAGAAATCCACCACATTGCAAAAGTTAGGATCTGGGCTTCTCCTTTTTCTCTTTGAAGAGTGCCAAGAGGGAAACACCAGAGACCTTCACAACCTTGAATCGAACACCGGGAATATCACCAACTGCATGACCCTTTCGTCCAAATCCGGCAATCAACACCTCATCCTACATCAATAAATTATTGATCAGCAGAAGAGTACCACCAAAAACAATACTTAAATGATTTCGGTTGTATACTAATACTCACATTCTCTTCAATGTAGTTTAAGCAACCATCGTTTGGAACGAATGCAGCAATCTTCTTGCCATTCTTGATCAACTGAACTCTAGCACACTTTCTGATAGCAGAGTTTGGCTGCTTGGCCTCAATACCGCTGCAGGTTCCGAAGCCATCAGTAAACTTGCTTGAATTAGAGTTAAAAGAAAACATGAGAATGTAATTAAAAAAAGGATATAGAGTTGCATTACATCTTCTCAAGGACAATTCCCTTGGCATGGGAAGAACCAGCAAATGGCTTCTTCCATTCATTTCCAAGGTTAGACTTCTTGTATGCCTTATCAGCCCACCTCTGCCTCCGGCGGTGAGTCCTCAGCTTACGACCAGCTCCCATACCACGTGTTTTCCTACAAGATTACATAATTAGCCATAAATTAATGATTTTATATTATACTTTCTAATTATCATTTAAAGTATAATTTCAAACAAGCTTTGTTCAATAGTATTTCTCTGGGATTCTCCTAAATCTATAAACAATAGAAAGAAACAGGTATTTTCTTCATGTAATAAGTTAATGTCACTTCTCACAAAAGAAACCAGAAACCCAAATTTATATTCAAATCAAACACTTAAAGTTTAGTTCTATAAACCCTAAAACAGAAATCAAGTTTCAAACTTTCAGAATATATAAAATTAAAGGCAGGACCTGCAAAAAATACATATTTCCCCCCCCCATCTAATTCAACACTCACACCAAACAAATAAAAGAATCAGCAAAAGACTTAAAGATCCAAAACCCACATTTTAGAAACTAAAAATTCTCACAAAGAACCATTCCTTTCATTGAAGAAGCAAGAATAGCTTAGACACTTTAAAAATGGAACATAAGCAGGTGAAGAGAAAACAAAGCAACCCATTTGAGGTGGAAGTAATAACAAGAAAACATACCCCATGTTGGTCGAGAGAGGTTGTTCCGACTGGAATGAAGGATTAGAGAGATTTGGAGGCAACGACAACAAATAAGTAGCAGCAGCAGCGAAATTTAAACCTAGAAGACTGAAAACCCTAGAAATGATGCGGTTGTAACTGGGCTACTGTATTGTCTTTCGTCTTCTTGTCGTAAGCCCAAACGAATGGGGCTTATAGATTATAATTGTAGCTCCGTTTTTTATTAGCTAAATTAAAATATAATAATATTTGTTTATTTTTAATTAACCTAATAAATAAATTTGACACCTTAGAATTAGAATTAGGACAAAAACAAAATTTTATGTTAGGTTCAAAATTATAAGATTTTAAGAGTCAATTTTTTTTGTTAATTTAATAAACAAATTAATACAAATAGAGATGTGTGTAGTTCATTTATGTTTATGAACAAGCTAATTTATTGGCTCATTTATAAGTTCATTTATGAAATTTATTTACCCGTTTTTCAAAATTTTTTTATTTTTATATTTTAAATATTGGTGAAGGTAGAGACCAATTAAACACATGATGAATTTTAGAGTTCAAAATTTGAAGCCTAAAAAGTTCTAAAATTCTTAAGGACTAAGGATATCATTTCACCAATTTTCTAAACATATAAACAAATGCGTTCACAAGCAAATGTTAACCAATCATGTTCACGAATTTTATGAAATTTATTTACCCGTTTTTCAAAATTTTTTTATTTTATATTTTAAATATTGGTGAAGGTAGAGACCAATTAAACACATGATGAATTTAGAGTTCAAAATTTGAAGCCTAAAAAGTTCTAAAATTCTTAAGGACTAAGGATATCATTTCACCAATTTTCTAAACATATAAACAAATGCGTTCACAAGCAAATGTTAACCAATCATGTTCACGAATATTAAATAAAATGTAAAGAACTGAAATAATATTTAATTTTTAAATTTATATTAAGGCTTAAGGATCATTGTTTCCCCTATAGTAAATCTAATTTATCAATTTAGTCCCTATCATTTTTATGCATCAATTTAGCCCTCGAAGTTGTTTAGAGTATTCATCTTAACCCTTGAAGCATGTTGACCATTCTGACTAACAAAACTATGAGGCTTTTTCATATGTAGATTAAGTGATTAGGTTAAAATGTTTTTATTAAACACAGTGATTAGAACAAATTCCTAAAAAAATATTATTTATTTAAGTGAGATTAAGAGATTATGTCAAATTTTTAGAGATTTTTTCTAACCGTTATATTTAGTAAATATTTTATTTTTTTAATACATGTCACATCATCATCAAGTCATGTTTGTAATATTGACTGATTTGAAAATTATTGGTGTTGATAAACGCAGAAGACTAACGAACTATTAGTCAAAATGGACTTTGAGGACTAAGATAAATACCCTAAATAACTTTGAAGACTAAATTGATATTAAAAAAACAATGAGAGCGAAATTAATAAATCAGATTTACTACAAACACATCAATGACCCTTAAATCTTATATTAATTTGTTTTTATTAATTTTTGCCGATAGTATCTAATAAAGACAATCTATAATTTTAATGTGTTTGCACAAATTTCGAATGTGTCTAATACCATTATTGTTTTTGAAAAAAGATTTGTTTACTAATTTAAGCAATTATTAGTTATTTTTTATTATTAATATCTCCACTTTTATAAATTCAAACGAACTTCAAAATCCATTTCCTACGCCACCTTTCATAGATTTTTTCTTGGAAAATTTTGATTAAATAGGATGTACTATTATTTACCAAAATGTTGAAATTGACTTTGTTTCTTAGATATAAGAGACGCAGTTTGATATTCTTCTCATCACCATTGTCATCTTCTTCCATCTCTCCATTTTCTCATTCTCTGCAACTCAAAGCACAATGGATAAAGAGCAAGAAGAGATGCAATTCGTTGGGTGCTTCGGCATCTTCGCTGAATCATACAAAGCCATCTTTGCATGGAGAAAAATCTTCAGCAAAATCACTTTGTCTTTAATCCTGCCCTTATCGTTCATATACCTTGTTCACATGGAAGTCTCGAATCTCTTCTTCAGGGCAATCATCTACGACGAAATAGAACTCCACCGTACTCGATCGGGAACTCCCAGATACGAGAAACTTTCCGACCTTATCTCCGACGAGTGGGTTTACTTTTGGCTTTTCAAAGCCGCTTATTTTACGCTGTATTTCATCTTTTCGCTTATTTCAACCGCTGCCGTCGTCTACACCGTCGCCTGCATATATACAGATCGGGAACTCACGTTCGAAAACGTCATCAACATCGTTCCCAAGGTCTGGAAGCGGCTGATGGTTACTTTCTTATGCATTTTCATCGCCATGTTTTTGTACCACGTCTTGGCCGTCTTGTTCATTTTAGCCATTTCGATCAGCGGAGGAAGAGATTTGGGTTTTGTTTTGTTCATTATTTTCGCCGCCGTGTACGTGGTGGGGATTTTGTATTTGACCGTAATCTGGCACTTGGCTAGCGTTGTTTCCGTTTTAGAAGAGGCCTACGGTTTCAACGCCATGGTGAAGGGCAAAAACCTGATAAAGGGAAACATAATGGTGGCGGTCGTCATTTTTCTTATACTCGGAATCGCCGCCGGCGTCGTCCAGTTTGCATTTCAGAGGTTGGTGCTGCAAGGGAGCAACTCCGACATGTGTGGTAGGGTTGTGTATGCGATAATTTGTTTGTTTTTGCATTCTATGTTGAGTCTGTTTGGATTAGTTATACAGACAGTGATTTACTTTGTCTGCAAATCTTACCACCATGAGAACATCGATAAATCTGCCTTGTCGGATCACCTGGAAGCTTACCTGGGGGAGTATGTTCCGTTGATGGCCAAGGACGTTCAATTAGAGCAATTTGATGTTTGATTTGAATTAAAACAACGTGTGAATGCTTGTAAATTGTAGTTTCTTCTGTTTATATTCATTTTGATAAATGGTGTTTTTTTAACTAATCCACGTATGTGATTCTAGATGAAAGTACTATGTAATAAATCAATTTGTTATTTATATAAACTTTTACATTTGATGCATTATGCATTTGTTATACCTTTATAGATATTTTCGATAAATATTCTTCAAAAATTATATTTTTATTTCTGAATTTAATGATTACAATCTCACTTACAATAATTTTACGTAATCTATTAAAGTAAAATTCAAGATTTGACAATAATGTTTGTCGGAAAAGTCAAGAAAATCATGTTGGCTTTCGGTGATTAAATGCACCGAACGGTGCATTATTGCTTGTTGAAAATAGTTTTTAGCTTAATTACATTTTAGCCATTGCATACTTTAGAGTATTTATAAGATTAGTCCCTAAACTTCAACCATAAATACCCTAGCTCATTTAGCTTCAAAATCATCCCAAAAATCATTTCTTTCTCCCATTACTAGAGAGATTTCTTGTGAGTAATGAGTGTTTTGTAAACACGTGTAAATTTTCTCTCTTAGTAAAAGATCTGCAGCAGTCCGAAAACGTAAGCAAATTGGCTGAACTCCGTTATCAATTTCAGGTATTATTTTTCCGCTTTTATTTCGCATTCTCACTAATCTAGTTATAGGGAAATTACTCGTACTCGTTTTATTTCCCAACAACTAGTAATCAGAGCTTTTGGTTGTGAATTTTGTCAATTTTTTACGAGGTTACTATTCATTACTATTCACGTGAATAATAAAAAAAATTTGTCGGCAATACGAATTTGTCGACGGAGGTATTCTAATACACGATGATTCGCAAGAATTGTCAGAAACGATCCAAACGAAGCCAGATTCGAGTGGGAGCGATGGCTGCAGACGAAGAGAAAGTGAAAATTGAAAAGTTCGATGGTGCGCACTTTGGCTTTTGGAAGATGCAGATTGAAGATTTTCTGTACCAGAAAAATCTATATCAACCTCTCTTAGGAAAGTAACTAGAGGGCATGAAAAATGAAGACTGGGCTCTTCTTGACAGATAAGCCCTCGGAGTTATCCGACTGACGTTATCCCTCAATGTTGCTTTCAACATAGCAAAGGAAAAGACCACGACGGGTCTTATGGCGGCTCTCTCCAGTATGTATGAGAAGTCATCGGCCTCAGACAAAGTTCACTTGATGAGGCGATTATTCAATTTACGGATGACAGAAGGGGCATCAGTGGCTTAACACCTGAATGAACTCAACACAATCACAATCCAGTTGAGTTCCATGGAAATTGAATTTGATGATGAAGTTTGAGCTTTAATTCTCTTATCATCTCTACCAGACAGTTGGAATGCTACTGTTACAGCAGTCAACAGCTCGTCGGGAAAAATCAAATTAAAATTCGACGATGTTCGGGATCTGGTATTGAGTGAAGAAATTCGACGGATAGAATCGAGTGAAGCATCAACCTCATCAGCCTTGCACACGGAGTCTAGAGGGAGAAATTCAGAAAGAAATTCAAATCGTGGAAGATCCAAATCCAGAAGGGGAAAATCAAGAACGGGAAAGAAATATTTTACCTGTTATAATTGTGGCAAGAAGGGTCACTTTAAAAGAGATTGTCGAGCACTGAAGAAAGATACCAGCGCACAAGAGTCTGTCAACATGACAGAAGAGACATGTGATGCCATGATTATAAGCGTCAACAATCCGATTGAATCATGGATCTTAGATTCAAGGGCATCTTTCCACTCCACCCCATGCCAAGAAATCATGGAGAACTATATCAGTGGTGATTTGGAAGGGTTCATCTAGCTGATGATGAAACCTTAAAGATCGTCGGAAAAGGAGACATCTGATTAAAGTTGCCAAACCAGACCACATGGATGCTGAAGGGAGTGAGACATATTCCTGACCTCAAAAGAAATTTTATTTATGTAGGACAGCTTGATGGAGAAGGATATATCACAACATTTTCAGGCTGTGAATGGAAGATTACCAAAGGAGCACTCGTCATTGCTCGTGGTAAGAAGACTGATACTCTCTATGTAACATCAAATTTAGAGAATATTATTGCTGCAGCAGATGCTGATGGAAAATCAAACCTATGGCACCAAAGGCTTGGTCATATGAGCGAGAAAGGGATGGAGACACTTTTGTCAAAAAGGAAGTTGTTGGATCTAAAGAGTGTAGATGTCGGACTATGCGAGGATTGCATCTTTGGCAAACAAAATAAAGTCAGTTTTGTAAAGATTGGAAAGACACCCAAGGCAGAAAAGTTAGAGTTGGTTAACATTGATGTATGGGGATCATCTCCAGTTCCATCTTTTGCAGGCTCAGTATATTATGTCACCTTCATCGATGATTCTACGAGGAAGGTGTGGGTTTATTTTCTGAAGAAGAAATCAGAAGTCTTTGATACCTTCAGAAAATGGAAGGCCATAGTGGAAAATAAGACTGATTTGAAAGTCAAGCGGTTGAGGTATGACAATGGAGGAGAGTACAGAAAGAACATATTCAGAGAATTTTGCGCAAACAATGGGATCAAGATAGAGACAACAGTTCCCATGACACCGCAACAGAATGGCGTAGCAGAGAGCATGAACATAACTCTGAATGAACGTGCCAGAAGCATGAGGATACATGCCGGATTGCCCAAATTTCTATGGGCTGAAGCTATCAATACTGCAACTTACCTGATCAACCGTGGGCCCTCAGTTCCCTTGGATGGTGTAATACCAGAGGAATTTTGGAGCAAGAAAGAAATAAACCTTTCACACTTAAGAGTGTTTGTTTGTATTTCTTATGTACACATAAACTCTGCTGAAAGAAGCAAACTTGATGCCAAGTCCAACAAATGTGTCTTTGTTGGTTATGGTGGTGATGAGTTCGGTTACCGGTTTTGGGACTACGAAAATCGGAAGATTATCAGAAGCAGAGATTTCATTTTCAATGAGAATGTGATTACAAAGACAGGTCAACCATAGAATCAAGTAGCTCCAATACCAAAGCTGAAACAAAGGAATTTACTGAGTTCGAGGAGATTTCTGGAAATGATGTTCAGATCAGTCCTGAAGTAGTTCAATAAGAACCAGACACACCACAACTAAGACGCTCCTCCAGAATTCCTAAACCAACCCAGCGTTATTCACCTTCTTTGCACTACTTGTTGCTGACTGACAATGGTGAACCAGAGTGCTATGATGAAGCAATGCAGGTGGAGGATTTAGTCAAGTGAGAGTCTTCCATGAAAGATGAGATGGACTCGCTTATGTCATATCAGACATGGGAATTAGTTGAATTACCACCAGGCAAGAAATCGCTCCACAACAAGTGGATTTACAAGATCAAAGAATAGCATGATGGGAGAAAATGCTACAAAGCAAGATTGGTTGTCAAAGGTTTTCAGCAAAAAGAAGGTATTGACTACAATGAAATTTTCTCTCCAGTCGTAAAATTGTCTACAATCAGACTGTTGTTGAAAATTGTAGCTGCAGAGAATTTACATCTTGAGCAGTTAGATGTGAAGACAGTTTTCCTTCATGGTGATTTGGAGGAAGAAATCTATATGAGGCAGCCAGAAGGCTTAATAGAGGCAGACAAGAAAAACCTGGTATACAGGTTGAAGAAGAGCTTGTATGGTTTAAAACAAGCTCATAGACAGTGGTACAAGAAGTTCGATAGCTTCATGAGTAGCAGTGGTTTTACCAGATGCCAAACAGATCATTGTTGCTACATCAAGAGGTTTGACAATAGCTTCATTATTTTATTGCTGTACGTTGATGACATGCTCGTTGCAGTCTCAGACATGCAAGAGATTATAAACTTGAAGCAAAAATTGTCGAAGCAGTTTGCTATGAAGGATCTGGGCGCTGCAAAGTAGATTCTTGGGATGAGGATTAAGAGAGACACAAATTCGGGGACTTTGATGTTATCACAGGCTGAGTACATCAACAAAGTACTTTCCAGGTTCAACATGCAAGATGCTAAACCAATAAGTACACCTTTAGGTGTTCATTTTAGACTCTCCAAAGAACAGTCGCCAAAGACGGAGGAAGAACGTGCACACATGGTAAAGGTGTCGTATGCCTCAACATTTGGAAGTCTGATGTATGCCATGGTTTGTACTAGACCAGATATTGCTTATGCAGTAGGAGTTGTTAGTAGGTACATGAATAATTCGGGCAAGGTACATTGGGAAGCAGTCAAATGGATCATCAGATATCTGCGGGGTACTACAAACAAAACACTTTGTTTCAAAAGTGGAGATACAATACTGACAGGCTATGTAGATGCTGACTTAGCCAGAAATGTTGACATCAGAATGAGCACTACAGGGTATGTCTATACTCTAGGAGGTACTGCAGTGAGTTGGGTTTCTCAACTAAAAAAGATAGTTGCTCTCTCCACAACTGAAGCAGAATATGTTGTTGTTACAGAAGCCAGCAAGGAGATGGTTTGGCTCCAAAGTTTCTTGGAAGAGTTAGGCAAGAAACAAGAAAACAATGTCTTGTATTGCGATAGTCAAAGTGATATCCATCTAGCAAAGAATCCGTCTTTTCATTCCAGGATGAAGCACATACAATTGAGATATCATTTTATCCGATCTCTTCTGGAAGACGGGATTTTGAAACTTGAAAAGATTAGTGGAACTCAAAATCCGGCAGACATGTTGACAAAGACGGTGACTACAGACAAACTGAAGTTGTGTTCAACTTCAGTTGGCACGCTAGAGTAACAAGACCATAAATATTGCTGCAGTGATCGAGGTGTGAAAACAAATTAAAATCAATCTTCAAGTGGGAGATTGTTGGAAAAGTAAAGAAAATCTTGTTGAAAATGGTTTTTGGCTTACTTACATTTTAGCCATTGCACACTTTAAGGTATTTACAAGATTAGTCCCTAAGCTTCAACTCTAAATACCCTAGCTCATTTAGCTTCAAAATCATCCCAAAAATAATTTCTTTCT